ATTGATGCCTTTGAGCTGTGGTGCTGGAGAAAAGTGTTGAATATATCATGGACTGCTAGGAGAACAAACAGGTTTGTGTGGAAAGGGTGAAGCCAGAATGCTCCTTGGAGTCAAGGATTCTGAAGCTTTGTCTGACATACTTTGGGAATATTTCAAGGAGGGACTGGTCCTTTGGGAGAGTGGAGGGATGGCGCAGGAGAGGAAGACGGGTCGATTCTGTGATTGGGGTGGTGGGAGTGAGCGTGTCAGAGACAGTGAGGTTGGCACAGGATAAAGCAGGGTTTAGGGCTTTTGTACATAGGGTCGCTATGATTCACAAGCGACTTGACAGCACACAACAACAACAACAACGTGCCAGTTTGCTTAAGCCGTTGGATACTATCTTTTACCATGTACCAAGGCAGATGTGGCACTTCAACTTGACTTAGAGTAGACCATGGCAAAATCTAAACTTTAGTGAACCAAATAGACTATTGGATCATTTCTTAACCTCTTGTGTGTTTTACTGCCTCAGATAACTCACTGGAGGGCCATTTATAATTTGGTTCTGACTTGATGGTAAAGTACAACAACATCAACCTTTCTAGCTGAAACATTGAATGAAGCATCTATGTTTAATGAGACCAAATTAATAAACTTGGACGGATCCAGTATTTTGCTCCTGGCAACATTATCCCATTCATACACTCAGGTTTCTGAATATATCTACTAAATAAAAAAAAATAGAGTCCTTCTGGAATGTAGCATTGTTTTCCTGGGTCACAACCTGTACTTCACTTTTTGGAACTTGTTGTAATCTAGTTATAGTTCTAGAAACAAATAGTAGCTAATGAGAATGGTTCCTGGGAACATTCAGCAATGCGTTGAAGGGTGTTGCTTCAGGTGATGCTTCAGAAAAATGTCTCAGATGAAATCTCAGACAGAATTCATTAAGTATATATGGTTAATATCTTCAGATTGGGGTGGGTGTGGGTAAGAGAGCTACTTTTTTTTTTTTTTTTGAGAGCTACTTCTATTGTTAGGATTGATTCAATAATATTTAGGCACTTAATCTCCAGAGTTTCCTGCCCATATTTTCTCATTCCAAGTTCCAGGGCCCCATTTCTTCCAAGCCAAGACCCTTAATTTAACTTCAGATACCATTTAAGGTTGATATTTCAACTGGCGGTGTTAATTCAGCCACTCTTAAGATCCTGGGTTTAGTTTTCAGTGATTTTTAGCTCTATGACTACAAGAAGTAAGACTTCTCTTCAAGATACAATTGGAGACTTGGTGGAAAGTCAATTGACTTGGTGATTATAATAATGGGCTCAAGTATATTGGCGGTAATGAGGCTCGCTCAAGAGTGGACAAGGTTCAGATCTGTTGTTCAAAGGGTCACTATGAGTTGCAGTTGACTCAAATACACATAACAACAACAACACAATAAGTGTGTGTGTATAGCTTGTAGCATAGTCCACACTGAGTTGCTCTGCTCACTCCTCCAGTGGCTAAAATCCACTAGGGGCTCTGAGGGAGAAAGATGGGCAGTTTTCTCTTGGTACTATTAACAGCCTGGGAACCCAGTGAACTCATTCACAGTGAAAGAAAGAGAAAGCAGTCTCTCTCTCTCTCTCTCTCTCCCTCCCTCTCCCTCTCCCTCTCTCCCCCCCCCTCTGAAATGATTCAAGTACTTGTAGAGTCAATTAAATTCCAAGCCTGTGGATAGACGTCAGAGACTTCTCCTGCCTCACATAGCTGTAGAAGGTGATGGGCAGCAGATTATATGACAGGATGCTGCTTGTGGAGGCTGCCAAATCCAAGACTGGTAGGCCGTATGGATGCTGCCAGCTTCAGAGACTAACAAATCCCAGACTGACCGGCAATACAGCATTCTGAGGGCTCCAATTTAAACTACTGTAGGTCAGATTTGATGAGCCAGATATGGGATCACTATCGAATAAAAAGCAAATAAACTTTGCTTAGAAGCTTATATGTATATTCTATGTAAGACAGACCCTTAGGAAAACTCCCTTTCAAATGATTGGCTGCTCTTAGCAGATTTTGTCATAGAGATGCTATTACAGTAGATCAGGTCTCATCGAGGGAATGGCTACATCATAAATGATAAATTAGAGAATTAGAGGCAGTATTAAATTATACTTGTATAATCCCATGGGTTATGGATAATAAAAAGAACAAATAAGTCTGCCTTAGAGGAAATACAACCAGAGTGCTCCGTAGAGGCAAGAGTGGTGAAACTTAGTCTCATATACTTTGGGTATGGTGTCAAGAGGGGCCAGTCCTTGGAAAGAGACATCATGCTGGGAAAGGTGGAAGGTCAGTGCAAGACTGAATGACCCTCAATATAATGGATGTTGTTGTTGTTGTTATGTGCCATCGAGTTGCTTGCGACTCATAGCGACCCTATGTACAACAGCCTTAAACCCTGCTCTGTCCTGTGCCAATTGTACTGCCTCCAACACATCCATCCTGATTAGCCCAGCCACTGAATCAATCCACCTCATAGAGGGCCTTCCCCTCCTGCGCTGTCCCTCCACCCTCCCAAGCATGATGTCCCTCTCCAAGGACCGGTCTCTCCTCACAACATGTCCAAAGTATGTCAGACAGAGCCTCAGAATCCTTGCCTCCAAGGAGCCACCCGGTTTAACCCTTTCCAGGACAAATCTGTTTGTTTTCCTAGCAGTCCATGGTATTCTCAATACTCTTCTCCAGCACCACAGCTCAAAGGCATTAATTCACCTTCTATCCTCCCTAGTCATTGTCCAACTCTCTGATGCATAACAAGTGATAGCAAAGACCATGGCCTGTATCAGATGCACCTTATTCTCCAGAGAGACACCATTTCTAGAAACTGCAATTGTAACAATGAGCTTGAGCGTGTTAAAGATGGAGAGGATAGCCCAGGATAGGGCAACGTTCAGATCTGTTGTTTATAGGGTCACTATGCGCCATAGTGCATGCAGAGGCACTTAAGAATAAGAACAAAAATAACAGCAGCAACAACAACAATATATATAAATGGCTTCTTGGGGGAAAAAGGGAAGTCTCCCCCTGTTACAATTTACTGCATCAGAAACCTGGTGGAGGGTTCCTATGAGTCAATATAAACTAGTGGATAAGAACTTATGCTGCCCTCTTAAGACAGGTGATTTGAATCTAGCAGCTGCTGTTTGGCAGACAGAAGGGTAATATCCTCCCATGCAATTACAACCTCTGAGAATCTTCTGGAGCATCAACTAAGAGTCGGCTTATATTCAAAAGAAACAGTACAGATGATAATGCACATTGAGTGGATTCTGACTCATATTGAACTTCCATCGAGTTTCTTTATCAGAAGAGACTGCCTGTCTTTCTCTCATGCAGCAGATGGTGGCATTTAACCATTGATTGACCTTTTGGTTAGCAGCCTAACGAGTTACACACTAGGCCGCCTGGGCTCTTACTAGAATATATATGACACATTGTTAGTAGGTGCTGTTGAGTCAGCTGTGACTCATGATGACCTGAGTACAACAGATAAAACACTGCTACATGCTGTGATTTCTATCTCGCTTTCTGTCTAGACAGACAATATGGATTTATAGCATGAAGAAAAAGCTGCACAGACTCAAATCCACTGCTGTCCAGTTGGTTCTGACACATAACAACTCTCTATCTGACACTGTAAATCGTAACTGGGAAATGGGACGGATAGTTCCCATTTTTGTTTCAAGGAGCCACTGGTGTATTTGAACTGCAGGAGATGCTTCGCTTTTGGGTTTTTGCAATACAACCTGAGGGGCCAGTACTTGGACAAAGAGAGCATAGTTGGACAAGTCAAGGGTCAGTGCGAGAAGAAGATCCTTAATTAGATGGACTGACACAGTGACTTCAACAAAAAAATGGTAGAGACGGCACAGGATCAGGCAAGGTTCTTATTGTAGAGTTGGTATGGGTTGAAGTTAGTATGGGTACATAGAGTTGGTACGGGTTGAAGTCAACTCAACGGCACACCACTACCACCACCGCCATCACCACCTCCACAAGTGTGTGCATACACACACCTACACAATACACGTACACACACACACACACATCTTTCTGAGACTCTATGTAATAGTTTCTGGGTGGTGAATGTGGTTAAGTGCTTGACTCAAAAGGTTGATGGTTCAAACTTATCCAAAGATATCTTGGAAGAAAGGTCTGGCATCTTCCAGAAAGGTTACAGCCTTGAAACTTGTGGACCAACAATTCGATGCTGCACTCCTAGGATTGCTGTAAGTTGGGGCCAAGTCGATGTAATTTGTACTTGGTTGCTTATTTAAAGCTTGGCAGTTAGAACGCACTGATTTTTGCCATGGAGGAAAGACCTGGGGACATGCTTCTGTACAGATGACAGCCACAAAAACTCCACGGAGCACAGCTCTACTCTGTAATAGGGATCACTATGAGTTCGAACAAACTTTTTTTTTAAAAAGATTTGCTGCCTTTTCAAACAAATTTATTTTATTTCATTACTGTGTGTTTGTGTGTGTGTGTACCGTCAAATCATATCTGACTGATACAGGAGGAGATTGTTCCTCCTTCTCCAGCAGAGCATCTGGTGGATTCGAACCATGTACATCTGAGATTGCAGGCAGCTTCTTGCCACCAGGCCACCAGAGCTCGCCTGGGTTCAAATAAACTTGATGGCAGTGCTTTTGGTTTTGTGGTTCTGTCCTCTCCAAGATAATAACTATCAATAACCTACCTATCAATGAACTTGCCCACATTTTTCTGCATGTTCCTATTTTAGAAATATGTAAAACTGTTAATAAAATTAATAAATGATTGTTTTTCTACATTTTCATGCTGACTTGGCACAGATGTGTGCCCTTGGAACACAAAGTCCTCAACACTTTGCACACAAAAAACCCCCAGTGAAGGCCTCTATCCTGGAGTTACCCTTCTGAGACCCTTGCTCCAGAGGATGAGGGCCTGCCTTAGGCCTTTCTTGACTTATATTCTCTTCTCCACAGCTGGAAGCATCAAATATTTTGGCACAGCCAAGGCCCGCTATGACTTCTGTGCCCGGGATCGATCAGAGCTGTCCCTCAAGGAGGGTGACATCATCAAGATCCTTAACAAGAAGGGACAGCAAGGCTGGTGGCGAGGAGAGATCTATGGCCGGGTGAGTCAGGGAAGGGCAAGGAGTCCCAGACAAGGCGTAAGTGTGACGTGGAACTATGGAATGGAGAAGTTTGAGAGTGACGTACAAAGAAGTTTTCCTTCCTCTTGATCCATTCATTCATCCATCCCTCCACTCACCCACTCATCCGTACATCCACTGGTTCATATCTCTGCCCATCCATCTACCTACAGACCCACCTATTCATACATCCACCTGTCATCTATCTGTTTTTTCTATTCATCTATCCATCCATTCTATTTCTCTATCCAATCTATTTATTCACTCATCCACGGATCCATCCATTGATTTCTACATCCACCCATCCACCCACTCATCTATCATCTATCCATCCACTCATCTGGCCCCTGGAGGAAAGGAAGGAGCCCAAATATTTCCTTCATTTATTCAACCTGCATTTACTGAGAGCCTAGTGTGTCCAGTGATTATGACGATGGCACAAGGTCAGACAATATGTTCTTTGATTATAAAACCTTTCCAAAGTCAGAGTTCACTTGACGGCAACATCACCAACACATCAGCAGCACCATGTACCAGACATTCTGCAGGGTCTTACAGTGACAAAAACAAGACAAAATTAGGGAATAATATTACTGCCCTCGCAGGACTCAGTTAAGTGAGGAAGATAGACTCCTGTAATCAGAAAGTTACAACATAGTGGTTGAGATTATGACCAAGAGGAACAGAATAGTGTGAGAGCCTCCAGGAGAACCTCTGCCCCATACAGGAGAGAGCAAGGCTGACTTCTGGCCAGGCTTATAGATTAGGAATAATTAAAGTTATCCAAGGAAAAGGATTAGGGACATTGTGCCAGGCAGAGGGGTAAACGTGTGCAAAGGCTGAGGATGAGAGAGCGACTGGTGTGTTTGGGGAACATGAAGGCAAGGACTGGAATCGGTCTTGTTCACGGCACCATGATCAGCACACACTGTGGTGCCTGGTATAGAGTAGATGCTTAACAAATACCAAAGGCATTATGGGAAAGGCCTGGGATAGCCACTGTGCTCTCCTGCCTTCCTGAACTGAGACTGTCAGGAATAGAAAGAGCTCACGTTTCCCACATGCGCTTGCTCTGCCTAGTTCTTATATTTGCTCTGTCTACAAAAGCAGAAAACCTCTTTTGTTTTATCCACCACTGAGTCCTCAGCCTCTAGAATATTTCCTTGCTTTTAATGATTTCTCAGTAATAGGCACTGAATGAAGACAAGAACATTGGTTAGGATTTCTGTTCTACTGAGAGGAGCAAATGTGGAAAAGTAATCTGAATAATTGTTAAGAACTGTGATGGGTGAAATTAGTGTGCAGTGGAGGACAATTGTGGTTTGAGAAAGCCTTTGGGATGCAGTGTTGGGAAGGCCTTGTCTGTCAAGGATTACTCCATCCATCTATTTATTGTCCATCTGTTCTTTTTTTTTTTGAAGGCAAACTTGCATTTTATTTGGTCTTCGGAGGGGAGAAGGAATCACCTTAACACAACATGGTTTTTCCCTTTGTTGCAGTCCCGGGTCACATCAGCAGGCCAGAAAAGCCATTCCGCTCCTGCGGTAGGCGCTTGTGAATGGGGCACGGGGGCCAATCTTGTGGCCATAGCGTCGAATGGCCTCTCTGATGTGGCAGGGCTGGATGGCAT